AAAAGGATGACTTTCCTCTTCCGAAAAATCCACGCAAATTGCTATGGAAAGGTATATTAACAACGGTTGAAATAAGAAGATCAATCAAAGAGAAAGGTGGGAAATAGGGATTATGAAACCAGTAAAATTATTCTAATAAAATTATAATAATGGTAAGAGATGTTCCGGTCCATTAAATCGCATACATTTCTTACCCATTACTACAACTGGACTTCGTCAGTACGGTGACGTGATAATTGCAGTTGGTGTAAACTTAAATATTAACTTAAATTAGTTGCATACAGCATACTAGTAAAAGTGGAAAGTGTATGTTAGCAAAAGTAGGAAATGTTATAAAAGATGAGTAGTAATATGTCAAAAAAAGTAACATATTTTGAAAATATGTTTTGAAAATTTGCATCAAAAAAAAAAACCTACCCGGCAAAATAGTTTTGGTAGAGGATAGTGCGCAAAATGTGAGGAGAAAACTGCAGATGAGGAGAAGGAGATTTGGCCAAAGCATGACTCAAATATGTGAAGAAGCCATTATAAAAATCGATTCGAATGTCCAGTGCCAGTGCAACGGGAACGCTGATGAGGAGATCTACTGTCCACAGCCAATGCCTGTCCCTCCTCAGCGTTCGGCCCCTCTCTTCCTCCACACGCCAGACAACATGCGAAGCCCTGCAAACAGCAACTAAGTGATTATAAATTATAAATAAAGTAACACTCCAGTACATCTGAAGGCATGCATGCATATTGTGTTTTTTTAAAACAAAAAACATTTGACACAATTTCGAACTTCATAAAAATTTTAACAACTTATTGAGAACTTTTTTCCAGTTTTTTTCTTTTTGGATATTTACAAAAAAATTGAAAATAATCCAAAAAAACTCCTCACTTATTCGAATTTCGTGTCTTACTTTTTTTCTAGATTTTTCTAGACATTTAAAAAAAAATTAAGAATTTAAAGAAAAAGAACCGCTGATTTTATTCGGATCTCATACCTTTCCTCACTCTTACAGCTGTGCAGATGAAAAATTCACTTTTATGGAACAGGAATGGTGCGAAGACGGGGGAATTTCACTCTTAACGAATAAAAGAATCAATTTTAGGATTCAAAAAAAAAAAAAATGAATTCGTCGAGGAAAGCTGGAACAAAAATAAACCAAAATAACCTAGTGGAAAATTTCGTCCAGGAATCGTTATAGGGACTGTAAAATACTGTGTTATTCAGACATCTGCTTACGTGAAAATACGAACGGAATGTATAGCATGGGAATTGGGCTAAACTTCCCACTGTTTTACATCACCCACTTTTTCTTAATAGCTAATATTGTTCGGGTTAGGGTGAGGCGGTCAGATTCATCTAGACTAGACTGTTAATGGTGTTAGACCCCTCCCCCCCCCCTCTCCAGACTCCCCACATAAATGAAGCACAGATTCTGGACAACCAGTCCCTTCACGACTCGTCTAGCTATTTCGATCGCAAGCTGCTACTAGTACACGTCTTGTAGTCAAAACCGTCTCATCCAGTCCGTTTCTGTGCAAGCTTTTCTAGGAACCATCAGCAGCACAGCTACTGAACAGCTACTGCTAGCACATGCTACTACTTAGATTACTACTGTATTTAAATTGAGTTTCGATATGCACTTGCTACGGAACGTGAAGTACTTCAAAGATATTTGTAGCAAAGCAGCTGCTCTGCTTCCTGGGACAAGCTGCGAAGATGAAACTTTGCAAGGATATTCTATATTCACCTGTAATCTTAATTCAGCTTGGAGACAGTAAAGAAGAGCTAGTTACCAGTTTTTTGGAATAATCAACGAATAATTGAACAGCTCTATTTAAATATTACTGTGAAATTAAGTAAAATTCTAGAGCAGCTCACTGTGATAGTAGAGAGCAGAAACGGACAACACCAATGTAATTCAGAAACTAATAAATATTCTTTAGCTCCAATAAAAGCAACTTTTTCAAGTGACAAAAGC